AGTTGCCCATACCACTAATATGATGCATGAACGAACGAAGATAGTTATAGAAGCGGGTTTTATCATATGTTGTTCATTGAACAGAATGGCTATTGAACAAAGTTTATTTTCCAGAAAATAGACCGCATAATTTAGATGGTGGCACTAGATTTCGCGCTATCAAACGGCTGGTTCAGAGATCGAATCTCAAAGTCATACCCTCCAAAGCCAAGCCAGCTTTTTCTCGCCCCAGGATCGGTTCATGGTACCAGGCTAGACTGGAAAAAGCCACTGTCTTGTACATTGGCTGATCACTGTAATTCATTGCATATGTAGGTCACACACTCATTCAAACGCTTCCACGATTTTAAGTGGAATTTGAACGCGGGGCGCATTCTCCAGCGGGGCCAAGTTTAAAAAGGCAGCGTAAAGCAATAGGGCTTCTAGCTCTATTGTCGTGATGTACCGAGAAGTCACTTTTGAATCACGCTATTGTCTGGGTTGGATTAAAAACTTCAAGCTAAGCCTCAAATCGACCCATGGGACGATCGAAAGGTTGAAAATTCGTTTTCTACCGATGAATTGATCCTTTGTATACCTGAAAATGTGAAGAATCACGCATTTGTATGAATGTGACAAGAAAATGATGAGAATTTCGTGGAAAAGGGTTGGAAAACAGTTTATCATCATATTGTGGCAATATTTATCGTTGTAATAATATCGGTATGAAATATTTGTCATCAGCCCATGGCTGATGGCTCGGTATTCCAATTCTGTTCAAGAATGGTAGTCTAGTCAAATCGTTGTCGTACCGGTTCTTATCGAAATCATTTCCATGGCAGACCAATGACGACCTTATAAAGCACTCGAATTAGCCTTTACAGTTAAGTGATCAGAGGCTAATTGGCTCTTTAAAAACCTGTCCGTCAAAGATGCCTTTAACTTCATCTTCTTCCTCTTCCTGCAGAACTGGTTCGACCGCGTTGCCATCAGAAAACCCTCAAACCTTATTCTCCACATTCGAGTCTCTTCTTTACTTGGTTATGTATTTCTCTTTATTCTAGTAGAGTTCCATGGTCTTATCTCTGAATGTGAATTTGTCTTTGCGTTGAACCTACCCAAATATGGTATTTTTTGAAATAGGCAAGATATCGTACTTACATTAGGAACAGGTTACGGTAATGGATACACCAACTTTGACTCCGTCCTACCGTAGTCGGTCTGCTGACAGGCCTCACATACGAGTTACAACAATTAAGACCCTGGGACTCTTTGGAGTCAGGATTTAATAGTAGATAGCCTTGAATTGAACTCTGAATCTCAATTTTTCTCGGTTTGGATCCAAGCCAAAAAAAAATGCTTGACGACGAGGCATAGAAGAGCAACTGAGGGTGAAGAGCAGCGGAAGAGCACGGAGGGCATCTCCTTTCTTATTCACCGGTAGATTCTTCCCTATTAGTTGCTTGAAAGTTGAAGAGCCCGCCAGTTAAAGACTCGCCGACCGCCCTGAGTAGTGATTTCCATCCGAAAAGCCGTTGTTCAGGCATACAGTTAAGCTAAGGGCACCCAAGTGGGAAGTTCCCTATGAGTCAGAAAACCTCAATTTCTTTAAAGGTCCTTAAAAGTTAATTTCTCGTAACTAGGCTAGGCTAGGTTCAGAAATATTATTGATTGTATAAAAGGAAGATATGGTAAAGGCAAAGGGCAGCGTGAGGTGTTGGAGATTCCCCTACGACTTCTGTGGGCTAGTTCTCGAATAGCTGTGATTGGAAGATATCCAATCACGTGACTGAAGAAAAATATTCGTTTTATCCAGTTTCATTGCGCCCAATTTTAGTTCATTCATTAGTGCAATGTCGTTCTGTCCAGTTGGGGATGATACAGGTAGGCCCTTGGTGTCTGTACGTACAATTCAAGTGTAATTGAATTATCTCTGCAACTGCCCCTTAGAACCAGAAATAGGTAGCTCGAGAGAAAAGAAAAAATCGACTTAAAAGTTCTGCCCCCTGCAGCAGCAAAAGCGGGGCATTCGTAAGTGGATGATAAGCGATTTCGACTTTTTCCTTCGATTTTTGAAGCTTTTTTTGTGTCAAACGAAAATCACCTATATGATAATAATGATAATAATCAATGGTATTCAATAATAATGACGGGTAGATACATTTATTATTATTAAAAAAGATTCTCAAATACATCAACCGAATCAGCCAACAGACGAGAGTGTAGCGAATGGAATCAGGACAACTAACTTTAAGTACAGGGATTATAGTTGACCTGTTCTATGTTCTTTCTGTTCTTCCCGCTTTTTTAAAATGGAACTGAAGCTACCTCAATGATGATAGTGATAAACAGTGATACTTAGTAATACTGGCTGATACCGATGCAAAATTAGCCTTACACGCGTCAACCGAATTTTTCCCCCTTCTAATGGTTGGCAGAGGGAATTGCGACACAAACAACTCTCCACCACAGGGGAGCCTGTGCACTTAAGGGCACTGGCTCTCCTATAGTGGTCCTACGCTTAACGTTTTGTTTATGCCCTTTCGGTCGCATAGCGAACTAGGGAGATAATCGGTGCATACCGAACTTGAATAAATCAAATTAAGTGGCAGTTCATGGCTAATGGCTGGCAGGGGCATTTCTTCGAACCACCGATACGAAGCGCCCTGTCTGAAGAAAGATTACTTTTCAGCTATTGGAAGTGTAGCCGTTTCACTTTACAACTAACATTTTTATTGCTCATGTTTTTCCAGATGTTGTCGTATTCTGTCGGTATGATGCTCGTTTAGCTGATTTACGCTCTAGCTACAGTAGAGCAGCAAGTTTTCAGTGAATTCATCCAGTTTGACTGGTTTCTTCGAACTTCCACATCCAACCCCATTAACTGTAAACTGTACGAAGCAGTATGGGAAGTTTCGAAAGCGCAATTCAATTAGGTCTATTGCAATGGGTTTCCTCATATCTAAATCACCATGATTCAAGGTTACCCAAACGAGATTCTTCAGCTGACGTCGTCGTCGTCGTCGACGCATTTTCTCATACACCACCTCTGTGTGTAAGTGGATGGTGATGAAAAAGTCTTCTGCTGATCGGTCATGCGGTCATTCATTCGCTAGTGTGAGAAGAGACGTCTCTCTATCGATCTTTTCAATAATTCCCCTTACAGAATGTCCTACCGGTTGCTTCCTCTGATTCTTATTCTACGATTTTCAACCGTCCACGGTTTACCTGCGGAATGCCGCGAACTGCTGTCATGCGCCGTCAAACAGGGCTGTGTGGATGTGAGTCTTTTCCAAGCCATTTCCAGTCCTTACAAAAAGTTTTCTTCAATATCCGCGCAATACAGTTCCGCGACGGTCTATTTTTTTTCTGGGATGTTCCAGAGGTTTTCATGGGAATACTCTTTCAGGACAATATCTCTCCCACCACCCTGAATACCCATAACATATCTTTTGCCCTATCCCTTGCTTAGCTCCCATACTGACCCAACTGTCTTCACGTTATCGACATGAACTTCATTACAACAAAGTTCGAATCCGGTTACCCTCCTCTCGAAGCCTTTCGGAAACTGTGTCACCCACTCTGTCCTGAAGACCCTTCTGAGCAGTCTGTGGGGCCTTACCCTGGTTCACTGATTACATAATGCCCGACGAATTAAAGGAACTGACTGGTACGACGTCTCTTCAAAAATTCCGAAACATTCTAAAAAAACAGAATATGCAAAGTTTTAAAATTTTCTGCTCGGCACTTTCCTGACGTCCTAACTTACTTTTGTGCTGCTGGACATTTCCTAGGATATCTTCTGATGTGGTCATATTACAGATTCCCTGGCTCATTAGCAAAATGGAAAATGCAAATATCTCGGCGGAAATGTATAACGACTTGGATACGGTAAGATGAGGTATTTCTTTATGATTGACGGCTATTATGCATGTAAATGTTTTTTAAATTTTATTAGAAGTTGGCAAGTCGTGGGAAAACGATCCCCAGGGTGATCGATCATCAATCGATTACGACTTACTAACTTATACTTTTTGATCCGCTTTGATTTAGAATTGATTTTTGTGATGACTGTAAGCCTACGTGTTAAACCGAACGTTTTCGGGCTAGATGGTTTTCTGCTAAAGGAAAGGAACAGTAAAGAAGCTATCAGGATAGCCATCTCCTTCGTCCTTTTATAAAGGCATGATTGAAGGGGTTCGTAGAAGAAGGGTGTGTTCGTGTGTTAGGATCCATTCTATTACTCAATCGAGCCCTTTTTTATTTATTACTATTCAGCGTAGCGACGACTTTCTGTACCTTTTCGTGTTGTAAGACGTAAGTTTAGAACAAATAAAACAGAATAGTTTCCATCGTCGACGATGGAGGCGAGATTATCTACAGGAACACGGAAATAGAAGACCTTTTTGAATTGGAATGGACGAGATTCTGACGAGAAACAGACTGTTGGGACGAAATTTCGTCGTTGCACAGCAACGTATACTATTCATTAGCGTTTCATTGCTGATTGCAATTACAACAAACGCGCTCCATTTCGAATGATACCATCCTCTACGAGACCGCTAAACACGTCCTCCCTTGGGAGAATCCACCGTCAGCGAGATTGAGCAATGATTGCGCCTTCTCCTCTCTGACAGTGCCCTATGTGGTCCTTTCAGAGATCGTACATTCACTTTTACAAGAAATCTCTGAAATCAAATCCCTCTATAGCTCCAGGGACGTTTGGTTGCCAGGTGTTCTGTATGGCGCCATCGCACATCGTTTGGAACGATTACTTTTTAGAGTTCGCCATTAGACTAATTGACGCTACATTTGGACAAGTGCATGACCGTAATCGGTACGAAAACCACTTGGTTGGCCTCGGCATTACTTAATAGAGTTAACCTTAGTCTTGAAATTTTTTCTAAAAATTAGTATAAATAACATAATCTATCTATGATTTGAATTTTGAATTCTGGATCAATTTCAGTTACCATTTTCTATAATTTAGGCCATAAACTACAGCTGTATCTTCACCCTCGGTTGTCCACGAGAATGCACCGCCTGTCCAATGTGCCATACGGCCAAGTTGCAAGTTATTGAAGTACTTGCTGGAAAGAAGACTAAAGAAGGTAATTTTGTGTCCGATTTGCCTGAGAACAAACTTTTGGCTTGAATTACACTTTTTTAACCACCTCAATCAACGAAACCTGTTCATTTATCGTCTAAGGAGGAAAATGCCCTGATCTGACCAGTTGCGCTATGGATTGTGTAGCAAAAGCGGGTAGTAATATGTCCACAATCAACCACTGCCTTCGACGAAAATGTGCCTTTTATTGTTTCAATGGTTCCTGTCCGAGATGTGCAGTTTTCATAACGAAGGTAAGCTTTGCTACACTTCCTTTTTTGCCGTTGAGGATAGTGTAGTGGTGAAAACCGCTTTGATGCGGTCGCAAGTCCAAGTTCAAATCCCGTCCAGACTGTCCGGGATACCGTCTCCCGAGAAAATAATAATATGCTTGATATCAAGCTTGCTGCTTTGGGAAATCACCCATTTCAAGGTTACCCATCTCTTTGAGCATCTCGGCGTCACTGTGTCCTGGGATGTATCAGATATGAGGTAGTAATCGTACTGCTGGATATTGATTAATCTCCTCAGGAATGCGCCACGCTCTGGATTCCTTTTCAGAGAGATCCTGTAGACATTCAGGGGCAGTTCGGATCTATTGAGCTACTGAATGAGACGATTTTCATGTTAATCTGGTCCGCGTTTCGAGCATTTAGGGTACTAAAGAAATTGAATGATTGAGGAGAGTAAGGTGGACATTAGGGGGAGCCAATCTCTCCCACATGAGCAGTAAAGAGTACTCTTGACTCCTCCCATGCCTTTGACGTCTCGTTCAGTTCCGAAAACGTTCCTAAAATGGTGTGCCTTCAAAACTCATCGGGTTTTTTTTCAGCTTTTCAACCAGGTATGCATCAGTGGCGCGATCCGGGACAAAGTTCGAGGGTTTCAAGTAGGCTGTTCCTACCTTTCTTCTAACTTTTTCAGTGACCCTATCATTTTGACCTTCATGGCTTTATGAAGTATCTGAAATCTCCGATTCAGGGTCAATGTCCAGAATTATTCAAAGCAATCGTGCACGCCAAATTCCAAGAGCAATTCGACAATGAACAGAAAAATGAAACAGTCAAGCGCCGGCTTGTTAGAGATTCAACTTGATCCTTCATTTGTCTTTCCTTAACTGCATAGTAATTACCGTACAATTCTCATCAGCACGTATCGTACTGTATAACGTTTGCAATAGTTTTGGAAAATTTCTTCTTGTATTTACAATATAGATACCACTGCTAGCTTTTCTGTACATCTTGTGTAGATTTAAATAATAATAAATTATTCAAAAAGAACATGACTTCAAATTGGCACGGATCCCTTTGATCGTTCCTGAAGGTAAAGGTTAAAGCTCCAAGCTGCAGGTTCGACATTCTCCTGACCAACCAAGGTGGTAGTTCTACCTCTCCCAGGTGGTAGTTCGTTACCAGACTCGTCTAACAATGAGAGGATAGAATAAGACTGAATTGTACGTCGGCTGGCCGCCATAGATCATTGCATAGAGTACATACGCATTCGAAGCGCTACCGATTCTGAATGGAAGCAGAGTGCGGGGCGCTTCCTTCAAACAATATTATAACAGTGGTTCCGGTACAGTTGCCGCGCGGGTTGATAATTCTTCTGTTACGATAGGAAGGCACAATCGACCATTTATTGGACTCTCAAACTCAATCTTGGGTAATTGAACCCTCGACATAAGAAATCCAGTATACAGTAAGATAGCAATCAACTGGAGACAAGTATTCTGTAAGTAGCACAATCATAAGATGAAAAAAAAA